GAACGCCACTTAGCTGGTGGCATAAATCAAAACCAAGCCAAACTCACTGCCATAAAGTCGATTCAACTCATAGAAATCCCTCCTTGGATTTCTGAGGCAGAATCACTATGGACGTAGATTGCCCCATCTTCCTTCCGAGGAGTGGCTGGTGGGTTTGAACCGCTAGCCTTCTAGTTAGCAGTCAAATGCCTTAGACACTACTATGCCACCAGAGTTCCTTAAGCTGGTGGCATAGACAAGCAAAATGCATTGGACTACTTCAGGTAGTTCCTCCATAAACAAGGACCACCAGACTCAGTTTTTCTTTTCTTTTTTTTAAATTTTATTTTTATTTTAAGAGCTTGTTTTACATTCAACATTACATGTACGTTTAATTTCATTCCCCATTTACCATGTCTAACCCTAACCCAGTCTTTTCCCTTCCATGCCCTGTAACCCTCCCCCGGTGCCCCTCATATTTATGCACTCCTGTTTGTCCTGAATTTCTTCAGTTTCTCTGGTGGCCCGTGGTCTATTGCTCTAAGGGATGTATTACCATAGCGTATGTGGGTGCATCATCCTGGGTTGAGTGGTCTGCATGTACATCTGGTCAAATATTGGGCTGAGAGCCAGCCCCTGGGGGTGCATTTTATTCCAGGCATAGAATATATTCCAGGGTCATAGTATTGGGGATCTCACCAGATTTTATCTGACCAGTAATTCTGGTCATTATTGAGTTTTTGGATTTTGTTCCACGTTTTCTCTCCCACTTTATCCAGGATCTCCAAATTTGATCCTTCCCTGAGTGGTTGTCATTGATAGCCGGGCACCATCCAGTTCTTCTGGTCTCGAGGGCCATTGTGTCCTATGGCTGATTGCTTCCAAATGCCCTTTGTGTGTGTGTGTGTGTGTGTGTATTCTTCTTCGTTTCCGAGTAGGAGACCGTTAGCTGCATCTTAGATGGCTACTTGAAAGCTTTTAAGACCCCAGTCACTACTCACCAATGTAGGATGTGGAGCAAGGCTTTTATGTATTTTGTTGTGCCAACTGAGTCTGGTGTCCCCCAGTACTATGGTCTTGAGAAGGTAGATCTGTTGGCTCTCTCTCCCATAGAGTCTGGTTGTCTGTGAGGGATTACTCTGTGTCTGTCTTCTTTTGTTTCTGTAAGGACTGCAGGTATTTTGTATCACTGGTGTCTGTGTAAGATTAGCCTTAGCTGAATCTATCCTTGGTCTGGAGTATACTTCTGTTCACTGACCACCATCTGATCATCTCAGGTGTTTATGTGTTTATCTGTAGCCTGATGTTTGTTGTTAATGGCAATGCAGTATTGTGGACACATTGGTTGGTATTAGCATCTGTTGTCTCTCTTATGTGCACAATTCAGTGTCCTCCCATTTCCTAATGGACTACTTCAGGTAGTTCCTCCATAAACAAGGACCAGACTCAGTTTTTCAAATTGAGCTAGGAACTATAAGGCTTACCATTTGGCTGAGAGCTTATACTGGGGCACTGACAATTTCTCCTCCTACCAATCAATGGTGGGAGCCCTGGTGGCGTAGTGCCTAAGGCATTTGACTGTTAACCAGCAGGCTGGTGGTTCAAACCCACCAGCCACTCCATGGAAGGCAGATTGGACAATCTACTTCCATAGAAATACTTCCTCAGAAACCCAAGGAGGCATCACTATGAATCGAAAAGACTCAATAGCAGTGACTTCGTTTTTTTTTTTTTTTTTTTTTCCCCTACCAATCAATATAGGTCTTGCTTGAGAGGGTCCAGCAATTTTAAACAATACTTTTCAAGTACACCATGTGTGTACCCAAGAGTGTACTTACTGTGTGAAATCCAGGCATTAATTTGCCTCCCTTCCAAACCATGGTTATGTGCAATTTTGTTGTTGCAGTTAGTTGCCATAAAGTCAGTTTTGACTAATAGTGACCTATGTCACACACACACACACACAAACAAACTCACTGCTGTGAGTCAGATCCAACTCATAATGACCCCTCCTTGGGTTTCCAGGGTGGTATCACTATGGAAGTAGATTATCCAGTCTTCCTTCTGAGGAGTGACTGGTGGGTTTGAACTGCAAGCCTTCTGGTTGGCAGTAAAATGCCTTAGGCACTGCACCACTAGAACAAAACATTGCCCAGTCCTGAGCCATCCTTATGATTGTTGGCATGTCTGAGTCCATTTTTGTAGCTATAGTGTCTGTCCATCTCATTGAGGGATTTCTTGTTTCCAGTGACTATTTATTTACCAAACATGATGTCCCTTTCTAGTGATTGATTTTTTTCCTGATGACAGGTTCAAAATAAGCAAGACAAAGTCTCACCATCCTTGCTTCTAAGGAGCATTCTGGTTGTATTTCTTCTGATTTGTTTGTCGTTCTGGCAGTTTACCAATGTTCTTCACTGCTACCACACTTCTTCTGCCTTCCTTCTTTTGCATGCACCTTAGGAGAGTGACCCTAAGAAACCCTCCACTGTTTAATGAGACACCACCAGTAGATTATGTAGCCCTCAGATGACTGTGGATACATCTCCAAAGTGAGTCCACCCTTGGTTGCTAGTGAGTTTCCCAAAAGAATAACTGGCACGTTATATATCTGCATTCTGTAGTCTATCGTCCAATTAGAAAAGTGATAGGATGTTTTTCTTATTTCAAATGAAGTGATCAGACATAGAGTTCAGGTCAGCCGTTATTCACTGGCCATGTTCCTTTTTTATTGTGATTTGGGTGAAGTTTAGAGAGCAAATCAGTTTTCCACTCAACAATTCACATGCATTTTGTTTCATGCCTTTGATTGTAATCGCCACAACATAACATCACTCATCCCACTTCCTCTCTGTCTTTCCTATTTCCAATCCTCTTTCCTATTCCTTCCTGCCTTCTGAACTTGTCCTTGGACAAATGCTGCCCTTTTGATCTCGAATGATTGATCTTTCTAAGATGTGCATACCTGTCTGGTGATATTATTCACCCTATAGACCTGTCTGTTGTTTGGCTGAAAGTTGAGCCACAGAAATGAGTTCACTTCCAGGCTTGAAGGGTGACTAAGGGCCACAGTCTCAGGAGTTTTCCCACTCTTTATCCGACCAGTGAGCCATTTATCTATCTATCTATCTATCTATTTATTTATCTATTTATCGATTGATTGATTGATTGATTGTTTTCTCCCACTATATCCAGCACCTTCTAATGTGATCCCTTTCAGAGCAGTTGGTAGTGATAGATGGGGACCATGTAGTTCTTCTCAGGGTCATCTAGGCTGAGGTTAATGTGGTTCTTTGGTTCTTTGGAGGACCTCTGGTGGTGTACTGCCTAAGGCATTTGACTGCTAACCAGAAGGTTGGCAGTTCAAACTCACCAGCCACTCTGCAGAAGGAATGCTGGGCAATCTACTTCCATAAAGATTTACCACCTTGGAAACCCAAAGGGGGTTGCTATGAGTCAGAATTGACTTGATGGCAGAGAGTTTGGCTTTTTTGGTTTTAGTCCTTTGAGCTAATTGTTTCCATGTGTCTTCGATTTTCTTCCCTCTTCTCTGCTCTAGACAGGGAGAGACTAATAGTTAAATAGTTGCACCTGGCCAGCATTCCTATGGAAGATAGATTTGCTCTAGACTTCCTCCTTCTTGGCCAAGGCAGAGTTAGTGCAATCATCAATATATCTTCTTGATGGATTAAGAAGGCCTAGTGGTGCAGTGAATAAGTGCTTAGCTGCTAACCAAAAGGTTGGTGGTTTGAACACACCAGTTGCTCTGTGGGAGAAAGATGTGACACTCTGCCTCCTTAAAGATTGTTGTTGTTGTTATGTGCCGTCGAGTCGGCCCCGACTCATAGCGACCCCTCCTTGGGTTTCCGAGGCAGTATCACTACGGAAGTAGGATTGCCCAACCTTCCTTCCGAGGAGTGGCTGGTGGGTTTGAACCGCCAGCCGTCTGGTTAGCAGGCAAGTGTCTTAGCCACTATGCTACCAGAGCTCCTTAGAAACTCTATGGCACAGTTCTACTCTAATAGGGTTGCTATGAGTTGGATGGACTTAAGGGCAATGGTTTGAGTACTTGGATTAATGCTTCAGGCCAAGTGAAACGGTCAATACAGAAACTTAAGTAGAAAGCCATATGGCTTTCTAAGTTCGACTCTCATAGTTTACAGGATTCACTCAACTGCTTGGGTCTGGAACCCTAAAGGACATGTTTCATGTCAATACCGTACTTTTGCCTCATCTTGCTGCTTGGAGTCATGTTATGTATTTTAATGTGGTAACTCTGGAAGTCAAATTCTTATCCTTCCCCATGGCTTGTGGTTGTTAATTGTTGAGGGTTGTAGTCGTCTGTTTGTTTGGTGGCTTTTCCAAGCTTTTTTTTTTTTTTTTGAGTGAAGACTATATTCCTTGTCATACATGGTCACTGATGTCTATATTCTGTTATCTCAATGGTCATCAGGGACCTGACAGAGATTACATTAAACACTGAAATTCTGCTGCCCTTTACTGCATTATGCAGTCCCCTGGTTGCTGTAAATTTTGGATTTGATTCCAGAGTTTTGAAAAACTGATTTTGTTAATCATTGCCAGCTTATGGATGTTTCAGTGAAGGGACCTATTCTTTGAGCACTCTACATTGCCATTTTCTGTGACATCACTTCTATCTTCTGTTTTGTGCTATTTTTGATGTCAATATTATTTTAATTTTTTTATTTCATCCTTTTAATTAATATTCTTGTCTTCTGGGGCTTAGAAAATAAGAAGCCAATGGTATAAAAATTATTATCATGTATTTTCTTTTGAAGCTTGTCTCTTCCTTTTCAAACAATCTATCAATGCAGTGTTTCAGCCATGCATATTGTCTCACCACTGCTCAGTTGCATTGGTTAAATTAAAAATAAATTATTTTCCTTATATAAGGTAAAGCCAAAATAGTAACACTGAAACTCATTTTGTTATTACTTATAACCATAGTAATGCTAACTTTAAAAATTATGTTGCTATTTAATTTTTTTCTTTCATTTCAGAATATGTATGATGCCTTTAGGACAAGATATGAATATGAGAATTTCCCTCAATATTCAGGTAAGTTATTATTTATATTATTATTTAAAAATATGTTTTCAATGAAACTGGGAGCTCAAATAAAATAATTATTATTAAGTCATTCTTTTGAAAGGTAAATTATACTATGCTGTTTTATGATTATTGGCAGGAAAAAATTTAGAATTACAATATCAGAAAAAAATAAAGTGAAATACAATTGGCCTTAAAACTTGGAATATTAGATATTATTTTCATGTTTTATAATATAAATAAGCCATTTATAATTTGTTTATCTGTGCTTCCAAATGTTTTGGCTACCCTTTAGATCTATCTAGTTGCCAAAAGGCCAAGGGGGTGGTATCTTCCTCTGACCTCCTCTAATTTCTCAAGGGGGAAACAGAGTCAGCAGCAGCAGCCCAAGGCTGATTACCAAGAGGCCAGACATGTTCCCACCCTCCAAATTTTTTTTTACCAGTTCTGACACCAACCAACCCTCTCACAGCACTCTCTACTTCCCTGCTAAATGCAAGGGCCACACAGAACTCACAGGCAATACTCATGATTATGGGGTTTATTAGGGAAGTAGCAGATTGCAATTCACATTCAGGAACATCAGGATACAATTCTTCAGTCAGGACAGGCTCCCCTCAGCCATTCCCTCAGGCACGCCTCTCTGGCCTTTGGCCTCTTAGCTTGGCCTCTGCTTTGCTGGGACAAATATTATAAAGGTCTTTTAGCTCTGCCAATGGGTGCACCCCACTCCACCAGCAAGCCTCCTGACAGACGCATCAGCTTTCTCAATCTTGACCTGGCAAGCCCGTGCTCTGTACTGTGCCATTCTCTCAGTTCTGCTGCCAGTGCTGCTGTAGCCATCTCTCTGCTATCTCAGCACAGGGATCTTGGGTCCAAGGATGCACTCCACACTTGGCTACTCTCTGTCTTGATGTAGTGAGATCCCCCTTCTGCCTCTAGGAGGGCACATTTTAAGCCTAGCAGAATGACAAAACTGACCAGTCCCCACATTAGGGTTCCATACACCTGGTTTTCATGGACCCACACCCACAAGTGTGCCATATACCATATTTATATTACTAAAAAGCAGCTACCCAATCCTCTTTTTTGGCCACAAATACCTTACATTTGCAGAGTTCCACCCAGTAATCTGGTAGGAGTCACAAAGACCATGGCTAGAAGAGCCATACCAAGTAATTTAGTGCACCACACTATAGAAGAGGTTTTTCTAATTGAAGGAGTTGTTCAGTGACATTGTTATGAGGACACATTTGACATAAAGTAGACCTAAAGGTAATAATCAAACTATTTAATGACCAGTACAACATGGGCATGGACCAATAAGATCAGATGATATTGTTGGATCAGATTTTGGAGTCCCCTTCTGTGCAATGTTAGGGTTGAAGGAGGAAGAGAGATTCATAAGGGAGTCGAGGCAGCCAGGAAAATGAATGTGAGATAGGTACTCAGATATCTTGAGGCAGCAGCTTTTTACAATTAGTACAGTAGTGTTTTAATATTTTAACAATTGGAATAGTCATAGCTACATAGTAATTTAATATCCACCCAGAGGTTACTGCACTAATCTGATTAAAATGAAGAAAATATAGCTAGAACCATTGAGATGGAAGATGAACAAGAAGCATACATACCCACCACTTGTCTGTCAGTTTGTCATGCTGTGGTAGCTGAGTGTTGCTGTGAGTCTGCAGGCTATGCCATCAGTATTGCAAATACCAGAAGGGTCACTCATGGTGGACAGCTTTCAGCAGAGCTTCCAGACTGACACAGACTGGGAAGAAGGACAGGACCATCCACTTCTGAAAAAAATGGCCAATAAAAACCTTCTGAATAGCAGTGACACACTGTCCAATATAATACTGGAAAACTATATGAATAGCCATGAAACATTGTCTCATATATGCCAGAAGAGGAGCCCCTAGGTTGGAAGGCACTCAAAATACAACTGGGGAAGAGCTTCCTCCCCAAAGCAGAGTCGATCTTAATGATGTGGGTGGAGTAAAGCATTCAAGACCTTCATTTGCTGATGGGGCATGAGTCAAAATGGGAAGAAACAGCTGCAAACATCCATCAATAATTGGAACATGGATGCATGAAGCATGAATCTAGGAGAAATGGAAGTTGTCATAAATGATGGAACAGATAAAGATTGGTAACCTAGGCATCAGTGTGCTAAAATGGACTGGTTTTGGCATTTTGAATCAATCATATCATCTACTATGATGGGAATGACAAATTATAGTGGAATGGCATTGCATTCATTGTCAAAAAAGACATCTCAAAATCTATCCTGAAGTACAATACTGTCAGTGACAGAACAATGTCCATACACCTACAAGAAAGAGCAGTAAATACTACTGTTATTCAAATTTATGCACAAACTGCCAAAGCCAAAAATGAAGAAATTGAAGATTTTTACCATCATCTACAATCTGAAATTGACTAAACATGCAATCTAGATGTATTAATAATTATTGGTGATTGGAATGCAAAAGTTGGAAACAAAAAGGAATCATCAGTACCCATTCCAAAGAAAGGTGATCCAATAGAATGTGGAAATTATTGAACAGTATCATTAATGTCACATACAAGTAAAATTTAGCCAAAGAGCCAGCTACCCAGAGGGAGCGAGTAGTTGGACCTGTGGGCTCAGGACCGTAGTCACAGGGGACATCAAGCTTAATTGGCATAATGTACTGCACAAAACGTTCCACATCCTACTTTGGTGAGTAGCAACTGGGATCTTAAAAGCTTGCAGTCACCTAGATGCAACAATGGGTCTCTCCACATCCAGAGCAAAGAAGAATGAAGAAAACCAAAGATGCATGGAAACAATTAATCCAACAGACTGGTACACCAGGTGATCCTCAGCCTAAATGACTATGAGAGACCAGAAGAACTAGATGGTGCCCGGCTAATACTGTCAACCACTCAGAGGAGGATTCTATGGACAAGATCCTGGATAGAGAGGGAGAACAATGTGGAACAAAACTCAAAATCATTAAAAAAAAAAAAAAGGACCAGGTTTGTCGGTCTGGTAGAGCCTGATGGAACCACTGAGACTATGGCCCCTAGCTGTCCTTCAGGTCTGGAATTGAACCCACTTCTGTGGCTTCCAGCCAAACAAAAGATAGGCATATGAGGTGAACATTTACATTAGGTAGGTACACTCTTTGGAGGGATCAATCATGGGAGAATAGAAGGGCTGTGTATGCACAGGGAGACAGCTCAGGGGGCAGGAGTGCCTGGAAGGGAAGGACACAGGGAAGAGGTAACTATGGGGAGGATGTGGGAGAGGAGCTGTTGCACTGTGGGAAATTGTAGTCAATGTCATGAGGCAAAGTGTATGTGAGCTTCTGTATGGAAAGTGAATTTGCTTTCTAACTTTTACCCAAATCACAATAATAATAATAAATAAAAATTGTTGAAGATAATTCAAAAATGGTTGCAGCAGTGTATTGCCAAGGAACTTCCAGAAATGCAGGCTGTGCTCAGAAGAGGAGTCAGAATCGGCTCAATGGCAGTGGGTTTGGTTTGGTTTTGCTAAGTAAATTGGAGATGATGAGTGGTACAAGCAGTTAATGCACATGACTGCTAACTCTGGTACTTTGGAAGAAAGTCCTGGCAATCCACTTCTGAAAAATTAGTCGTTGAAAACCCTATGGAGCACAGTCTCTGACACACACGCCATGTGTCAGAATCTACTGGGCGGCAACTGGCAAGCAAATTAGAGGTATGTGTCTAGTTCAGTTGGTTTGGTGCTACTTTCTTAGAGAACCTCTGGTTCCTGATATTTCTACACACAGATTTAGTCTAATACCACAGTTCATTGAAGATCATTGTGATCCACTCCCTACTTTATAATTTCTTAGTTTGTTACTTAAAACTCCTCTCTAGGTTCATGACTTGAATTACTGAGGATGTGCCGTCGAGTCAGACCCGACTCATAGCGACCCCTCCTTGGGTTTCTGAGGCAGTATTCCTATGAAAGTAGGTTGCCCAACCTTCCTTCTGAGGAGTGGCTGGTGGGTTTGAACTGCCAGCCTTCTGGTTAGCAATCAAGTGCCTTAGGCACTATGCTACCAGAGCTCCTAAGATATGAAACAGCTCTTTTCAGACGTTGTGGTTGTTATGTGCCCTTGAGTCGGACCCAACTCATAGCGACCCCTCCTTGGGTTTCCCAGGCTGTATCACTACTGAAGCAGATTACCCAACCTTTCTTCCAAGGAGCAGCTGGTAGGTTTGAACCACCAGCCTTCTGGTTAGCAGTCTAATGCCTGAGGCACTATGGCACCTTGTGTATTATCTGTTTACATAGCTTTACAGAGTTGGATATGTATAATAGATATGATGGCAAATTACCCAAATAACTGCTACAGGATAGGCTAAAACTAGGTAGCCAAGGAGGATAGGTAAAGGCAATGTTTTGGATATCCAGTGAAATACAGCTTTTAACAACCACAAAAACAGTCAGAACTACCTGGAGTACAATGATTGAGTTTGTTTTTATTTTTAAAGCTTTTTTTTTTTTTTTGAACTGGCATTAAGAGCCAGAGGCAAAACTTGAGGGACTAAATACTGCTACAGTGAAAACTATGAGAGCTGGAATTCAATAGGACTACCATGTGTTTTGGGTCTTGGAAGTTTTCTCCCTTAGAGTGCAGCTTACCACTTTTCTGTTGCTGTCTATTAAGAATCCTATCTCATAAACATTCAGTGAGTTTTCCTTCTCTGACAAGTTTCCACCTTACACAGGTTCCAGCTTTTACAGGTTTTACTGTACTATAGTGACTAAGGCACTTGACTGATAACCAGAAGGCTGGTGGTTCAAACCCACCAGCCACTCCTCGGAAGGAAGGTTGGGCAATCTACTTCCGTAGTGATGCTGCCTCAGAAGCCCAAGGAGGGGGTCACTATGAGTCAGGTATGACTCGATGGCACATAACAACAATGATTTTCTAAAAAAACCACAATGTTTTATTACATAAAAGTATAAAGCATGGACAAACAGGAGTGCATAACTAAGGAGGGTGTCACAGGGAAGGGAGAGGAGGAGAGTGGGTTAGGGTTGGGGATGGCAATCGGGGAGTGAAACCAAATGTACATGAACTGTTGAATGTGAAACAAATTCTGCTCTGTAAATTTGCACCCAAAGCACTATTTAGAGGCAGGGGGGGTGGGGGTGGAGTATAAAGCATGGCAAGATTTAGTTTTAATTATTTAATGTATGTATTTCAACAATACTTTCTGGTGGCGCAAGGAGCTCTGGTGGCGCTGTGGTTAAGGCACTGGGCTGCTAACCAAAAAGTAAGTGGTTCAAACCCACCAGGCACTCGGTGCCCAATTCCATAAATATTTACAGCTTTAGAAACCTGATGGGGGTCACTATGAGTTGGAATTGACTCAATGGCAGTGGGTTTATCTGGTGGTGCAGTGGTTAAAGCATTTGGCTGCTAACCAAAAGGGTGACAATTCAAATCCACCAACTGCTCTGTGAGAGAAAGATGGGGCAATCCGCTTCTGTAAGGATTTACAGCCATGGAAACCCTCTGGACCCTACTCTGTCCTATAGAGTCACTAGAGTTGGAATTTACTCAATGTCAGTGGGTTTGGGTGGTTATTAAAGGTAGTAATTAAATGACAAACACAATGAAGCAATATGTCAGAGGATAGCGCAAAAGAGATAGTAACGATAGTGACAATAACAACAAAATTTACATTCATTTTGTGTTTATTATGTTCCAGACACAGTGTTAGACGCTTTAGCCCATTAAATCCACACAACAACCCTATAAGGATGAGGAAAGATGAGAGATACAAAGTAACTTATCCAAAGTTACATAGTTAGTTTGTTGCAGGGACTGTTTGAGTCCAAGCAGTCTGGCTCCAGAGCGTGTGCTCTCAACCACTGTGCTGCTCAGTCATCAGTTAGAGACTTGTCTGTAATGCACACTTGTCAACTGCCATATGTGCCACCTTACTTATATAATCTTTTTTTTTTTATTCTCTCTCTCTTTTTTTTAATGTGTTAATGCAAGTTAAGAGCTATGGACAGAAAAATACAAATAAAAAAGGAAAAACAGTAAGTAGATTGATATATCCTTTTAGAAACCATTGTCATTATTTTGAATTAATTAATATTTATTGATAGTGTTCTGCTTAATCCAAAACATTGGAATATCATGCTAATACTCTTCTGTAGAAAGTAGGATTTGACAGAAGAACTTCTCAAACTCCATGCAAGAGGATTAGTTACTTTAAATAAAACAATCCCAAATTTTCCAGGGCATTATTGATTCTACTATTTAGTCCCGTTGTTCTAACGAACCATTAAAAAGCCCTGGAAATTTTAATGTTTTGGTATTCAACATTCTCCCAGACTGACATATGTATCTAAAATTAGAAAAAAAGTTTCATTTATTTATGTGGCTTAAAATTTTATTTAGAAAAAAATTGGCCATGATATCTATGCAGCATCACAGTTATGGAAGGAGTACAAGACTTCAAGTCAAATTTTTTTTTCTTATTAGCTATAGGTTAAATGGGGACTAATTCATTCAACATCTATTAAATACCTACTATGTGTCAAGCACCATTTTCGTTAATATTCAATGAGAATATACTATCTGATAGGAACCATGTTGAATTTTTCATGTGATTTATTTAATCCTCACAACAAAGTAACTGTTGTTATTATATATTTACATTTTGCAGATGAGAAAACTGATATTCAGTGAGATTAAGTAATTTGCACAAGATCACACAGTTAATAGGGGAAGATAGGATTTGACTCTTAGAGTTCATATGATTAATCACCTTTTCCTGCCTCCCTGCCGTTGAGGAGCTAAAATTATATTAGTGAATGTGGCTGACAGATCAGCAAACCGAATTATATTACAGCGATATTCAATGAATATATAGGATGTCTTGAGAGCCACTGTACCTCCTGTGAAAAATGCACTTAGCACAGACCTGGGTCAGGAGGTGGGGGGCAAGTAGAGACGGGTAATAATAGATCTTTTTAACCAAAACGAGTGATTCGATGAGATAATATATGTAAAACACTGCCCAGTGCCTTGCAACTACAACTTGTGTTATCTCGGTTGAATAGAACTGAAGCCTCACAGGAGTGCCCTTCCCAGGACTATGCAAGCAACTCATATTGTGGTATGAGCAATGAGCTAGAGAACTGGAGACTTTATTCCAACTCCAAGACAAAATATTTTGACATAGATAAATTTTATCAGAAATATACAGCCCTAAGGGTCTGCAGTGGAGCCCTGGTGGTGCACTGGTTAAGTAGTTGGCTGATAACCAGAAGGTTTGTTCCAACACACCAGCAGATGCACAAGAGAAAGATGTGGCAGTCTGCTTCTGTAAAGATCACAGACTAGAGCAGAAACACCATAGAGCAGTTCTTCTCTGTCCTGTAGAGTTGCTATGAGTTGGAATTAACTTGATGGCAAAGAGAAAAGGGTCTCCAAGGGATGCACTTGGAGATTCCTAAGCAAAGCACAAAGCATCTCCTAAATGTCAGTTTACTAAAGTCTTAACTGTCCATCTCCTCCACTAGAAAGCATGCTTCTTGATAACAGGGATTTTTCATGTCTTATATTTGAGTATCTGAAATAATGCCTAGCACTGTTCAGTGGATACTTTTTGAATGAGTACCCACTATGCATCAGGCATTATAGTTACAAAGATCAAAAGAATACAACCCTTGAGTTCCGGCAAGATGGTGGACTAAGCAGAAGGACCGCACAGACCCTCTTCAACAAAGAAAAGGGAAACCAATTAACACAGACACAGAAGATAATCTTGGACCCCTGAGCCTTGAAGGGAAGGATA